TTCGTGGTGGTCTTATCAAAACTGAGACAGAGTTAGAAAGAAATCGTATTTTCATCTATAATGTAACCACGGCCTTCTTCAATGAGAGGCGCTACCCTGTGCCTTTTAAGCGCAACAAAACTTTTGGATCTGCTCAGGCTTATTTCATATCAGGATGACTAACAGATGCACTACTAACTATTAGTTCCATTAAAACAAAAGTTACCATTTTCAAGAACCACATGAATATATTATAAAGCACGTTATAAAATTATGATTAGCGAGATAAGTTTTATTTAAAATAAGAAAACAAATTAATAACTTGACTGCATATCTTTGCATAAGCGAAGTATAATTTTAGTGTTATAATCAGTGTTTTTCAGGTTCAGACATTTAGGTATGGGTACACGTATGCCACCATCCAAAAGACAGAAATTCCTGCAAATGAACAGAAATTCAGATTATTTTGTTAGAAATAAAATTTAATCCTAATTTTACTGCGGTATAAATAATTATATTATCTGAAATTATCACCAATAACCTTTACGAGAGAGCAAGAAAAAGTGAAATGAATTGAAATATTTGAAAATTTCAATTAATGAGAAAATACTTTTCTTTCGGAAAAGTTTCAGTAACTTCTTTGAAGAACGTTTCAAAAATTTTGAGTAAGAAATTAAGCAAAATAAACTACATCAGCAAACTTTCTTTTCCATTTTGTCTGTTACCAAACTTTTATTAAGTGTTCAGAGCAGACAATGCAATTGTACTTGTAATTGTTCGCATCAAAAGAAATTTCCTTTTATTGATTGTCTGCATGAAGTTCAGTTAGAATTCTATTGAAAGAAATGAAGCAATTTATTTTAATCTAATAACTGTTTTCCATTTTCTTATGGAATTATTTTTCTTTGCATCCGTGTTAAAATGGAATGAGTAGATGATTATAAGTTAAATAATTTGTTTTTGTATTATAACAAGCATGTCTGTTTTGTATAATATCTGTCTACTTATCTATGCATATATGATCTCTTATTTACATGTAAAGTGCCTCTGAAGCTTTCTGTAAACACCAGTGTAGAAGTTTATGGAATCCTTAATGCTTTTCTCCTGTTTGTAATTTAATAAAAAATAAAATTCATTACGTTTCGAGAATTTTGTTTTATTTATTTATTAGAGGGGGACATTTTATGATTAATTTATTTAGAAAATTTTACGTTTACTCAACGTTTCGTGCTTTAAGCAAGTAATAGATCTATATTGTTCCAGATTTATATCTCCCTCTCCCCTTGCTAAAAGTAAATATATTTGATTTACACTGCTGAATCCTAAGATTGGCTTATTTTTCTTATTAGTTTCCAATTTGAGGAATACAAAGTTGAAAAGTGAGTTTAATTCTTTGGAGCTCTCAAAAGCGAATTTCTTCGAAAGAATTCTAAGGAGACAAATTCTAATAAAAATCCTAAAATACTCAAAGAATTCTAAGAAAATCCTAAAATACTCAAAGAATTCTAGAAACTATTATAAAATTTCTTAAGAACTAATATTTGGAAGGAATTCTGACTAAGATATTTTTTTTCGAATCCACACTTTTAAATTACTTGTAAGATGTGAAGGAAGTATTGTAATCACGAAAACTTTCGGGTATCATATTTCAACAGAAATGTCCATTTTGACCGTTCACGACTCCATTTTCTTAGGTTACTTTCGTGTGCACGGACATGACAAAAGACAATAATTTCAAAAACAGGTCATAAACTGTATTCAAACAGGAATTTTTTCAGAAGTCAAAGGAGATTACCCGTAAAACGCTAAAATTTTATATATGGGACTTGTATACATTACTGTCAGCAGTATTAACAAACACACACACACACACATGTATATACATGTACGAGTAGGGTGGTGGGTATATATACACCCATACATACCCACCATCCTACTCGTCTTAAAAGTCATAACCCGGGTTTTGGTTTCGCAATCGATGGTCGTAGCCATATACTTCCAATTACAGAAGTGATTTAAATGAAGAAAATATTTATTTTTCTTCAATGTCAGATTTTAAAAAAGTGTTATTGACAAATAACAAAAATCTAACTTTTAAAGCCGTCTCCCATCTCTCAGAGTTATATTTGATAAAGTTGTGTGTCCTTATGAAAAAATAAAATTATAAGAAGTTTGACTCCTACACGACAAAATTTAACAGAGATATTTAATTTGAAAAATCTGCAATTTTTGATGTCATTTTCGACGCGGCTTGAGAGATCGGTTACTTAAATTAGAATAATTAAGGATAAGCTTAAATGAAGAGTAGCAAATAGCCTGTATCATTTACGGGCAGCATAAGGAAGTTATGTGGTGCCTATAATGCATTTATTCATAGGTTTAACATACAGTTATCCTATGAGATGCAGATTTAAATAAAGTGAAAATTAGTAATCTTCTTTGCTCTGCTTTATGATTCAGGCACTATACATTTATAACTACATGAATACTTTTACACAATAATTTAAGAAGATTTATTTAGCTTTGTTTCTGTTGAACCCTAAAAGTCATTTGTTACCCTTTTGGAAACTACTTTGCTTGTCTGACACGAAACTCAAAACAAGCACGCGAGATTTATTGTGGCAAGGAGGTCAAGACTGCGGCTGTCGTTGGCGGTAATCTTGAACATCATACAGGTGATGTTCGACAATCGTACCACAATCGAATATTGCGAAAGGCATAAATAAGAATATTGTAAAAATTATCAGGGAATACAGTAAGAATTACCATCACCGCTGAGACAGCTGTGTCAATGAGTTAGTTTTTGCCTTTTAGTTAGGTTTTGAGTTAGCAAAGCACAATACTACACAGAAGACCCCCGCGGTGTTATTTTTAGGAAGAAAAATCCTAACGCCTTTGCATAAGCTGTTTTTTGTACAGCAAAGGCAAGAAGAATTCAAGTTAAAAGACATACAGAGAATTATCGATGAAGCAAACAAGAATTCTGATGTAGCAAGTCAGAAACAAAAGTTATATTATGATAAAAATATAAGGGAAATGGAATATAAAGTGGGGCAGAAAGTACTCAAGTTGAAACACTAATTATCATCCGCATCAGAAAACATGTTCCAAAGTTCGAACCCAGGTTTGAAGGCCCGTACATAGTTGAAAGAATACGGGAAACCACTTTTTATTTAAAGGCCGAAAATGGCCAACTGGTTGCAAATATTGATCAAATAATGCCTTACTACAGCCGTAATGATTTTCAAATTTTACAGGATTTATTACAGAATCCTGAAAGGGAGGAAAGAATTCCACCAGCTCCAGAACTCAGCTGGAGTCTCCCAACACAAAACAGGAAAGAGACGGATCAATCACGGACCAAGCGGATCCAACCTGGAAAAGGTCAAGGCGCACAAAAACGGAGGAAGGTTACGCCGACAGACCAACGAGCCAGAACCGAAGATTCAACAAAAACACCAGTACCGCCGGCTAAAGACAGTGAGGCCTGCTGAGGAGGTTCCAGCGAAGCAGCAATTTCAACGACGGGCGGAATCAACAACACGCAAACCACGTTTTCCAATAGCAACGACTGCGAGGGTGGCCCAAGGAAATCCAGAATTGAGGAAGAAAAGAGATAAAAGACCAGACGATACAACCATGCCTGACCAAGAAGTTAGAATGTCCAAGCGCAAGTTCAAAGACCGTGAAGGACGAATGGCCCCACCAGAGCTCAAGAGGAGACTGAAATTCCAAAACCTGAAGCCGTCCCGCAAAATTCCGAGATTCTTACACAAGGGACAGAAAAGGAAAAGAAGTGACGAGAACGGCACGGAGCATCAGAGTTCCAGAAGAAGGTTGGAGGTCATCAGGTATCCTACATTTGAACAATTCTGCCAGATCAGAATGGAGGAGTACAGGAAAAGACAAGTGAAAAGGGAAAATTTCTTTGCTTATTTTACTTTGAAAACAGATTCAAATTATATCAACTTGTTCTAAGTTGCTAAAGAATTTTAGAAAATTTAAATCGCAGATAGCGAGGACTTAATTGTAAATAGCTTGTAATCACTGATTTTTATGTTCTAAATTTGGCGACAAGCTACTAGCAATAAATAGTTTTGTTATGAACTAGCAAGTTGCTAGAATTAAATTAATCTGTTTAATCGGAAAGACTTTTTGAATAATGAAATCTGTTAACTTAAAGTTAAGATTTAGTGTAAAGATTTTTTTTTTACAAATGGCGGACACTTGCCTGTAACGGCATTGTCCGCTACAAAGGCCAGAAATGGTAGCCATTTTATTGTGGCGGCACCTAGTAGGCGGCCACCGTTACCTCCTATGAAGGGACAGACAATTTTACATCCATACCTTCTCCGAGATTCGAACCCGGGTCCTTTGGTATCGCAGACGGGCTCATCTAACCACTGTAGCGTTTACGCTGCGTGTAAAGATAGTAAATTGTAACCAAGCAACTATGATGTTTGATGTAAAGTAAATTTAAAAGTGATGTGTAAATATCTAAATGTTTATGTTAAAGAAGAAATGTTTAATCTCTGTGTTAAAGTGTCGTAAAATTAAATTTGTACAAAAGATAAATTTTGGCCTCCGTGTAAATACATTTGTGAAATAATTGAATGTTTTAGTATATATATATATATATATATATGTTTAATGTTAGGCTCTCCAGCTAACACTTTTAAAGTAAATTTAAGCTTTTGCTTTGTACATTAGGAAAGTGTTGGCGTGTAGGGAGTCTTGTGAGGTCTAGTATATCATATTTAACAAGTGTATAGCGGTAGGTTTCTTTTCGCGGTAGCGCAACATAAGTAGTAACGTACACTTATGTTGCGGTAACGCAACATAAGTGTTCGCGGTAACGCAACATAAGTACATTTCAGAACAAATTTCTGTAGAGCATGGGAGAAACAATTAATTTAAGTATGAATGCAAAAGGTATGAGAGCCAAATGAGAAAATAAAGGTGTAATGGTAAGGAAGACGGAAATCTTTGTAAAGTCTAGTACTAATTTTGTTTCCTTCCAGATATTGAAGGACCAAGACTAAAAGCAGCAGAATAACTTATGGATTAAAAGAAGTTGATGTTTGTCGAGAAATAGATGAAAATTGTAAAATTTTATAGCTTTAGTCTAGCTTTAGATTTGTTGTAAAGTTGGTCCTAAGAACAGAAGTTTCAGTGAATCTAGTTTGATGAAAGAATTAGGAGTGTATAGTTTAACATTAGAAAGTTTTTAGACTTTAAAGTCTTAATCAATGTCTTTCAAAGGCCTTTGGCTTAAAGTCTGGTCAGGAGTCACGTAAGGATTATGTTAATTTTATTAATAGTTAAATGTTGAGTTAAACTTCTTTTCCTATCTATTGTTAATTTCAATTCACCACTTCCGGGCAGAACGCAGGTTTAGAATCTCGTCTGAATGATAATGAGGAAGAGCGGTATTTTACCGCGAAGTTCTTCTGTCTTAGAGAGATACCAGATATTCTGGCTGCATGCGTCCGCCTTTTTAGGCAACTCTCTCGTAAGCCATTATTACGCTCGACCGTCCGTACATTAGGCCTTTGATAGTTTCGCAGAGTATTAGCGTTAAGGGACCAACTCTTTTAGAATTTTGATAGCTTCGTCTATATTTCTTAGTTACAATTAGTTTAGTTTACTTCTTAGTTCAAGCCCGAGTGTCGGCTTTATTGTACAACTCCAAGACGGAATTTTGTTAAACTTTAGTTGGAGTAATAAAGGAATAATATAATGAACATTCTCACTTGTTTTCTACCTCACGAACTCAAGCGATTATTCGCTTATTAGCTCTTAAGATTCTTCACATTCATGTGTAACTTAGAAGTACACAGTTGGGAATCCTACAACATGAACGTTCCGATTCACTGAATCCAAATAGATAGTCAACGCAAAGCCTGCAAACAAAGATGTCGTTGAACATGCAACGCAACAAGACCCAGTTCTGTTACTCATTCAGGAGCCATACTTTAAAGATGGACAAGTAGCCAGATTCTCCTGCAAATTTATGCAAGCTACTAGTACCACTAACGAGCAAGCTCCTCGAATCTCCAGTGTTTGCCATAACCAGATTGGTCCCTGATCAACATCATTATGGAAAGGTATTATACTACCAATCTTCTGGAATCCAGCACTTTTCTTCAACGATTAATTCCACTTAATCACTATCAACAGACACCATTACCAATACCATTAAAGAGCTTTCCGATTATCATACAAAGATACCCTACGTAAATCATATTATATGAGACGACTTTAATTATACTAATGTAATAGAGAGATATGCTTTCACCAAACCCAAGGGACAGGGTCTCAAAGAGTACATTGCTTATCGGAATATATTCATGAAGTCAATGACGACCTGTGATGAACCTCTAATATACACACATTTGAACATTCTTCATTTACGATATATATTCTGGACACATAGAAAGAAACCGCGCACTCGTTCCCAGGTAACAAAACATGTATTTAGACTATTTATACAAGATAATTTTTCAGAGTAGTTTGAAACACTTTCCATATTTTTAACATAATATCTTCATTCTATTTAACAGAACTCTCGAAAAGAACAGTCGAATATTCGACTACATTTCAATCGCAAAAGTACCACTCATAGAAACACGTGCATGTCGCTACTCCATCTTTCAAGCTCCTTATCCTATTTCGTTGCCAGATTCCCCTTTCTTTTCCATTTGGGGTGACTGGCTTGCCAAGCTGTCTAGCAAGGCTGGGTCCATAACTCTTTCAACCAGGCACACGCATGACCAGACCCCCTCCTCCAACTTTCAAAAATACCTACAATAAAAGTTGGCTAGATCTCACCCTTACTTCGAAAAATGCGATTTCTTTAATTTTAAATCGGAAGGTAGCAGACGTAGGCTGGTCTGGACACAGGTATATCCTCTTTCAAATCAACGCAGAAACTTCAGCTACCACCATAAAACGTTACAGACTACCTGGCAATTAAATATGTATTCTTAAATAAAGAAAACTCTCTCTAAAATTCTCACTACTGAAACTTGAAACTTTCACACATACGCTATTAAAAGTTTTACAAAATTGCTGTGACATTAGTGTAATAATAATAATAACATTGTTGCCCAGACGGTATAATGATTAGGGAAGCCGACTGTGGTACCAAATTACTCTGGTGCAAATCCCGGAGAAGACATCGCTGTAATTGTCCGTCCCTTCAAATAGGAGGTAACGATGGCCCACTTATTTGTTGCATCCACAACAAAGTGCCCACCACTTTCGGCCTTAGTTGTGGCCAAGTACATGTTGGCTAAGTCCCCAGCAGTGAAAAATAATAATATTGAAGGAGTAGATTATAAAAGCAATAATCATATATCAAATTTTTAAATAAGTATTAAAACATTATTTAAAAGGAATCGTTGTAATCATTGGAAATGTGCTGCTCGAACATTTTTGTCGATACTTTTATTTTCTATCGCTTATAATAACACAGTCTAATGTGAAATGATTTATGTATTTAAAAAAAATGTAAAACTACATAAACAACATTCTAACATAAATAGGAAAAAATATATGAATTTTCGAGATTATCATTAAAATTAGACAGTCCCATTTATCTGAAAAGATTTTGTTTCTAGAATACAAAAGGCTAGTTTCACAATGATACTTAATTAAAAGGTGTGTTAATTGAAATCACTTTGTACATTCAAAGTCCATTCGAAAATACACACAAAAAAGAACAAAGCAAGCATTGTTTCTGAGTTAACAATTATTCTCCTGAAATTAACATTTCATTTGCATAAAGTGGAAAAAAGTATTAACCTGATTCTAAACTCGAAGGTTATTTTAGCTAGAGTAAGCATTTCTTTGATGGAAGAAAGATTAAAATGGAGCAGGTAATAGTTTTCTTCTAATAGAATTGTTTAGGCAGTATTTGACGTTCAAAAGTATTGCGAAAGAAAAACTAGAACCAGCGACTCGTAGTGGCAAAATAGGAAAAGGAGAGCTATTTGCAATGATTATTGGAATGCGACCTGCATTCTAAAAAGGATTTTCAGATTCTGGTGGTACTGTTAGTAAGATATCGATTTTTTGGTTAAATCTCCCTCCTAACTTTTACTTCTGTTTTAGTTTGGTGCTTAGATCAAAGGAAAAGTAAAATTGTTTTAATACTGAAATATTTCTTTCATACGATATCTCAGAGTCTAATTTAAATTTTTTGCATTCAGCTTAAAGCATTTGTAAGATTTACGAGATTTACAGAATTTAGCTTTAATTCTTTTTGTTAAAATTATTAAGAAAATAAATAGAGTTTTTCAAAATGTGGTAGAATTTTAAAATTATTTTTAATAATGATCCATTAGGAAAATTAAATTATTCGAGGAGTTTCGGATAAAACAAATTAAGCAATGTGAAAAGTGTATGTCAATTCACATTAGAAATCAAGAAATATCTGTGCACGTGGCTAGATCTCTAATGGAAAAAAAAGGAATACAGCCTGAATTTCTTGTTAATGTGTGTGTGTAATTATGGCAAAGCCTCGAGGGCTATCTGCCTAAGAGGAGGGATGCCTTCGTGGAGGACTTTTTAAGGGATACTGGCTCGTATTCAAAGATACACACTACTCGAGTTTAAGCTGAGAGCTAAAATTATTTTATAACCTTCAGCCCAAAAATGATATCCATAGACTCATTTCTTTCTCTTTGAATGCATCAATGTTTCGGGTAGGTGAAGTTTTATAATCAAAATGTCCTCTAAAGCGTGAAATGAAATAAAGTGTGAAAAAAATTACTATGGCAGTAACAGTATGTGAATGTCTTACTTTTAGCATGAGCAATTTGATTGATCAATCTTAATTATATACATGATGAAATTTTTATATACATTGTCAACATTAGACCTTTTTATTACATATTTCGAAGTCTTATATTGCGTATTTCTTTACATTTTAAAGAATCGATGGATTTTGGAATGGAAACGCGAAAATTCCTTTTGTTTTCGTCGGGAAATGCCCCAGAGAATTTCCATTTTACTAGCTGGATTTGTTTGAGCGCATGTGTGGAGAGAATGTGATGATTCTTTACAGCATGTAACTCCGAATTAAAGATAAGTAAATAAACTCCTACTAATGTATATGTATCGGGTATAGAACACTGTGTAAGCGCTGTAGTGATTAGAAATAATAAAATGCTTTAAAACTACAAAATGTAAATTAGTAACAAAAAGAGGCAAAACAAATTCTGCTAGTCACCGAAATACAAATAAAGACTAGTTATGGATGATACTTCAGAACTGTACAGTGCTTGTATCGTAATTAGATTTCAAAGTTTAATTTGAGTGCAATACCTTAGCGTCAATCAAACTGCCATACGTCGATGGTATAATTTATTAACGTAATCAGGAAAGTTATGTCACAAACTCTGAAATTAGATTTATCATGTTCATCCCTATATTTCGAATTAATTCTTTAATGTTAGCTCAAAGCTTCCTCAAGGCGAAGTATACAAATTCCACATTACATATACCATCATGCGCATAAAAGTTATTCTCACGGCGTCCTCCTTTTTGTCAAATATGTAATTGTATTTTTCTCAAAATAAAATTAGATTTTCACTGAAATAGGTTGCTCAAGTCTCAGATAATAGCAAATAATATTTATTTACTTAAGTAAGCACATATTTATCTTTTCTGATTATGGCAAAATCTGATTAAGAGAAAGACGTTCTAAACGAAATTAGTGTTAAGTGAGGAAAATAGGAAATCTAACTATGCAGCTAGCACCTTCTTCGGGAAGCTAACCCGGGTATACCTACCAAACGTTATCAGTATTATATGTATTTCTGTAGAAATTACATGTGCGGGAATGTAACAAAAATAGCAGAAAAGTCCAAATCGTAACACATAACACACATAAGTAAAACCGTTGAACCATGTTCTATGTAATGCGTATGTAAATCTAAATGGTATCCTTATTTTCACAACAGTGTATAATATCCGAATGTAGTGAGATTCATAACTTATTTTTGAACACTCTGCCGCGCAAATCTGACGTTATTTTATGCTTATTCAAAACAAAAAGTACTTTTGATAACGGATAATATGATGAATTTAACATAACCCAGTTATATCAAATTGAACTGTTGCTATCTGAAAACACCATCCTAAGACGTGTAGAAACATCAGGATTCTTTAATGCAGGAGACGAAAAATGAGCAATGCTCTCGTCGGGATTCGAACCACGGACCTCTCGAATACGCGTCGAGTGCGCTGACTACTACACAACGATAGCATGCTAAGAAGGTGGGAGAAATACCTTATAGACGGCGTAATTTATATGTGGATTTAAGCGAAACTCATATAAACAGAATTCCGAAAAGTGTATGAAACATTCAGAAATTGCATGAAATATATAGTAATTAAATATAAATAACCAAAAATATAATGGTTTGAGGGAAGCTTATAAAAATCTGCATCAAAGTTTCCTATAAATAATTTTATTAAACAAAAATGGCAGAAAAATTCCAAAACTGCATCTTACTAATTTAGAACAAAACCCAGCCGCACAAAAATAAAGACAAATTTTTGGAATTTTTACCTAAAACTTCAATGTAACAGCTTGTTTCACGTCTGCACTGCAAGCATAGAACAACCTGCGACACACATGAAATCAAGGTTAGTGCTACAAATTAAGATACAATTCCTCGAAAATCACACTCCATTCAAATACTACATGCACTGATGAGACTAAGCACGTCTGCTT